ACCCAAAATTAGTAGAAGAAAAAAAGTAATAAAGAGCCAAGCAGAAATAAAGAAAATTGGGACCAAAAAAAAAAAAAAAAAAAGAAAGAAAGAAAAACCCTGTACAAAAAACCAAGAAAACAAAATGTTGGATTTTTGAAAAGATGAACAAAACTGACAATGATTATCTAGACTAATCAAGAAAGAAAAAGTCTCAAATAAATAAAATCATAAAGAAGAAATGAGACATTACAACTGATACCACAGAAATACAAAGGAATGTTAGATATTATTATAAACAACCACGTATGCCAACAAATTGGAAAACCTAAAGAAAATTGATAAATTCATAGACACACAAAATCTACCAGTGTTGAACCAAAAACATATAAAAAACTTGAGTTACAAGTAATGAGACTGAATCAGTAATTGAAAGTCTCCCACTAAAGAAAAGCTCAGGACCTGATGCCTTCACTGCTACATTCTACCAAACATTTACAGAATAATGAATGCCAATTCTTCTCAAACTCTTCCAAGAAATTGAAGAGGAGGGAATTCTTCCAAACTCATTCTATGAGGTCAGCATTATCCTGTTTTCAAAATCAGACAAGGACACAACTAAAAAAAGAAAACAATAGGCTGATATCCCTGTGAACATGGATGCAAAATCCTGAACCAAATACTAGCAAAGTGAATCAAGCAGCATATTTAAAAGATCATTCATGATGACCAAGTGGGATTCATCCCAGTCATGGAAGATTGGCTCAACAAATGCAAATCAGTAAATGTAATACAACACATTAACAAAATGAAGTACAAAAGCCATATAATTACCTTAATTGATGAAGAAAAAACATTTGATAAAATTCAATATCACTTTATGATGAAAACCATCAACAAATTAGGCATAGAAGGAACGTACTGCAATACAATAAAGACCACATAGGACAAAACCACAGCTAATATCACACTGAATGGGGAAAAGCTAAAAGGTTTTCCTCTAAGAACTGCAACAGAGAAAGGATGCCCATTCTCTCCAATCCTCTTCAACATAGTACTGAAAGTCCTAGCCAGGATAATTAGTCAAGAGAGAAAAATAAAGCACATCCAAATTGGAAAGGAGGAAGCCAAATTGTCCGTTTGCAGAAGACTTGATCTTATATATAGCAAACCCTAAAGGCTTCATCAAAAAACTCATAGAACTGATAAATGAATTCAGCAAAGTTGCAAGATACAAAATCAACATTCAAAAATCAGTAGTGTTTCTATATGCCAATAACAAGCAAAATAAAAAAGAAATAATGAAAGAAATTCATTTACAAAAGGTATTAAAAAATACCTAGAAATAGATTTAACCAGGGAGTTAAAAGATCACTACAAGAAAAACTATGGAACAGTAATAAAAGAAGTTGAAAAGGACACAAAGAAATGGAAAGACATTCCATGTTCATGTATTGGGAGAACTAATATTGTGAAAATGACCATACTACCAAAAGCAATCTACAGATTCAATGTAATCTCTATCAAAATACCAATGACATCCTTCACAGAAATATTAAAAGGAAATACTAAAATTTGTTCGGTACCACAAAGGACACCAAATAGCTAAAGCAATCCTAAGCACAAAGAACAAAACTGGAGGCATAGACTCCCTGACTTCAAAATACACCATGGTAACTAAAACAGCATTGTTTTGGCATAAAAACAGACACTCAGACCAATGGAATAGAATAGAGAAAACAGAAATAAATCCATGTGTTTACAACCAGCTGATTTTCAACAAAGACACCAAGAATATTCATTGGGGAGAGGACAGTCTTTTCAAGAGACGGTGCTGGGAAAACTTCATATCCACATGCAGAAGATTGAAACTAGACCCCTATCTCTTACCATATAAAACAATCAACTCAAAATTTGTTGAAGACCTACATGTACAACATGAAACCATGAAACTTTTAGCAGAAAACATAGGGGAAACGCCTAAGGTCATGGGCTTGGGCAAAGACTTTATGAAGAGGTCCTCAAAAAAACAGGCAACGAAAGCAAAATTAGACAAATGGGATTGTATCAAACCTATATCTCTGAAATACAATTGAAAGTCCTTTGTTTTATAAAATGTGAGAACTGTACAATTCCACAATATTTAGTTTAGAAAAACAAAATTCAAACTTTCCACTAAGAAAATCTCTTTGCACACATAGTAATTTTACCTTGCCAGATCCCATCTACATCAACAATCGTAGAGATAATGTTCTTATCACATCCGGGCATGTCTTCTCCTCCATTTGGAAAGAAGTCTAGGTGGCCCACAGTCTGACTCAATCCAAACCCTGAAGAATTTTAAAAATAAGGGAAGGCTTATTCTAATGTATAGACAAGACATGCTAAAGTACTCCATGTATGGTCTCAAAAATCTTTAGGAGGATGACTTGAGGAACTTACCCAAGTTGGGGAAAAAGGGAGAAGCATCCGTGTGAATTACATCCACAAATTGAGCATCGCTGGGGTCCAATCGAACTAATTCAGGGGTTCCCTCAAAGTAAGGCTCAGCTGGATCCAACCCTAAAGTAAATACTTGGTGTTAATTATCTGTCAGTGGTCATGCACACGCACCTTCTTCTGTAGTTCCAGAACTGAGTGCAAGAATTGGCTGTAATCATGAGTTATGCATGGAAAGACAGGAAGGAGTTCTTCCTTACCTTAGTCTGTTCTGAAGGGAAATCTGCCTCTAGTTTGCTATTTGCTTTAAGGTGAATTTTGGAGAAACCATAGAATTTGCACGTATTTATGGATACTGAGTCACTGGGAGACTCTTGGTCACCAGCAGGAGTTAAGAGTCAGATCCAGGATACACTGGACTAAATGACATTCAGGTTAAAAGAGTCCACACTAGGGCCGGCC